TATATATATAAGCAAATTCAAAAATACAATGAAATCAGACACGAAATATTTCACAAGGAATATTTATTTTATAATATAAAATTAACAAAAACATATTATTACAAAAACTTTTTCTCTAAGTCATTAAGTTAAATGGAAAATTATAAAATTAATATTACATGCATTTGCTACTTTTCTCACAAACAGATGGTCATCTTTAACTTCTTTTATTACTGTCCCATACATTTCTACATTTACAGATGTTCTGTTTGTCTTTTTTTTTGTAAGATCGCACCATTCCACAGACTTTTATAATCAGACTGTTGACTCAATATGATAGAAATAAATCTGATTCCGAACTGTTCTTGTTTCAGTTCATATATATGTATGTGTGCGTCCTATCTGCGAATATCGCCTAAATTTATGTAAAAACATTAACTTAATTATCCGTGATTTATACATTGAAAGTGAGTGAACACAAATATGGCGCTGCCCATTACTGTCTTCAAACATCGAGACGAAGTCGGCAGTCTATTTGTAGAAGTCTATGCATCATTCTGTAGAAGAAGAAAAATTATTTTTAATGGAGTAAGTTGTTATACTGTAACAACTTGTCCTGATCGAAGTGTAACTTGCCCCAACTTTCTATTTTCGAAAAAATACGGATAAAAATCAGTACATATACGGATTCAAACAAAATATGTTATGATCAAATGTATATAAAAGAAATATGCAAAAAGATAATCACATACTTCTATATACAACTTATATATACGGTATTACGATATGTATGCGTGTGGCATATGAGTGATCGACTGATTAATTTGTAATTAAGCAGAGGTCGAATAGCGAAATATTCTGCATAATTCGTGTCAAATGAATAGATTTCCATAACACAACGATTTATACAATGAAATATTTACTTTTAATAATGAAAATTAAGGAAACATGCATATCATTTTCTAGAGTTCAAGTATGGCGGCTATATTAATAGCGGAATCGATTGGATGCACTCAGTGCACACTAGTGTACATTAAAATCGTCGTACAAAATAACGTAAAGATATATTTGTACATAAATATAGAAATCGATTAAATCCTGAAATATTTAATATATTTTATTGTAGTATTAAATAAAATATATATTTTATAATTCGAAATATTTGCATTTCATTCTTATACTCAAATTATTACAGTGTATAACGACTTTAATATGACCAAGTGAGTACTAATGCTTTCAATCGAATTCACCATAAGTGAAATTGTAAAGTATCGTAAGAATTATATAAAAATTTATAAAAATGAGCTGCCACCTGTGGTGGCAAAAAACTAAAAAAATGAACTGTAACAACTTATCTTGTGTAACAACTTGCCTTGATCTCTCCTAGATCTTATTATATTTAGATTGAACATGTCATACACTCGTCAATATTATAAATAAAATTAATTTATAGTCGATAATATAAATTACTACACATGCTCCAAAACTTGAACAATTTTCAGACATCTTTCTAAAATGTCTGAAAGATGACTAAACCATCTTTTAGAAAAATCTTAAAGATGTCTATTTCAAAGTGTCTTTTGGATATCTTCCAGATATGTGCATATTCTCTGCACTGATTGTCGAAACGATAATCTAGAAGGAGGATATTATAATGATATTATAAATATGGTATATACGCATATACATACGGAGTGCCCGGAAAATCGCCCGCAATACTTCGGGAAATGATTCGGGACTCAAAAAGAAGAAAAAAAGCTATATAAACATAGGTCTGGAAATAAGTCGTTTCCGAGTTATAACCACTTTTATATTAAAGAAATTGTAATTTATTTTTCAAAATCGCAATCATAATTTATTTCATAGTGTTTTACATAAATACATACATTTTGGCGTTACCCAGTATGCACCACGTGGAGAGATAGCCCGCTTGACATCCCTCTAGTAAAACGAAAAAAAATTTTTTAATAAAAAAAAAGAGCCTACTCACGCGCAGGCTTGCAATTAGATTGCGCGAGCGTAACAATATTTCCATATAGCACGTAATATCACAGTAATATTACAACAATATCATTTTTATATTGCAATATTACAATGAAATTCTAGCAGAAATATCATTGAAATATTGACTGAGATGTCACAGTAATAATACAATATCCGCAAAAAAGAATCATAGGAATATTACTAAGATATATTACAAGAATATCAATATATTATGTAATATTTCTGTGATATTTATATAATGTTTACATTTATGTAACATTTATTGGGAAAAATTAAAATGTTTTAAAAAGAATTTTTTAAATCGATATTTTTAATGTTATTCCGTATGATATTAATTGTTCCAATTAATATTTTAAAAATTATTTCATTTCACAATATTAATAAAAAAATAATACTGATTATTAATATAATAATAATTATTTTATTATATAATATAATAAACTGAAAAAGTTCTAATAAAATAAATGTCACTTATAAAATTATACACATAGTTAGAATGATCCGATTTAGGTCAAATATGCACCGTTTTGTTCGATAACTTGTTGTCATTTTGAAGGTAATTCCATTATGCCTCTCTCATAGAAACCCTCGTCCCTATTGGCAAAAAACTTTTGCCATGGGGCAGTTGATTTTCACAAGCTTCTCTTGAGGAGAATTTTTCACCAGCAAAATCATTCACCATAGACAGGAACAGGTGATAATCACTTGGAGCCAGGTCCGGAGTATAAGGTGGATGCATAAAAACCTCCCAACCAAGCTCCCGGAGCTTCTGGCGAGTCACTATCGATGTGTGTGGCCTTGTGTTGTCCTGATGGAACACAATTCCTCTCCTATTGGCCAACGCTGGCCGCTTCTGGGCAATTACTTCCTTCAGACGGTCCAATTGTTGACAATACAGGTCCGAAGTAAGAGTTTGGCCACAGAGGAGCAGCTCATAGTATGATTCCCTGTCAATCCCACCAAACACACAGCAAAACCTTCCTGATCGTCAATCCTGGCTTGGCCACTGTTTGTGTCGGCTCACCACGATTCGACCACGACCGTTTTCGCTTGACGTTGTCATAAGTGACCCACTTTTCATCATCAGTCACCATCCGCTTCAGAAATAGGTTGATTTTGTTGCGATTCAGCAACGATTCGCAGATGGAAATTCGGTCCATGAGATTTTTTTGCGTTAACTCGTATGGCACCCATACATCGAGCTTCTTTTTGTATCCAGCCTTATTCAAGTGGTTCCAAACGGTTTTTTGGACAATGTTTAGCTCCTGGGCAATCGAAATAGTGCTTACATGACGGTCGGACTCGACGATTTCCATTATTTTATCAACATTTTCGACAATTAGCCTTCCAGAGCGTGATGCATCTTTGACATCAAAATTACCGGAACGGAATCGACGAAATCAAAATTGCGCATGATTGGTTGTTACAGTATCAGGACCATAAACACTATTCACATTTTCAGCCGCCTGGCTTTTCTGCTCTGCGTTTTCGCCTTTATCGAAGAAAAACTGTAAAATATGGCGTATTTTCTCTTTGCTGGTGTCTATCTTTGACGCGCGCTCAAACAATACTGAGTCAAGCAATCACAAAACACTGTCTGAGAAGTTTTTTTAGTACGAAATCTTATCTTTCTAACGCCATCTAGCGTAACCCGATCGCACTTATACAACGCGAGATACAGATTACTAAAGCCATCTATTGGAAAAATAATGGATTTCTTTTTACTACACCTTATATTTTAACGTCTCAATAAAATATCATAAAAGTTATTAATTATAATGTTCTGCTATTAAGACGTTATATTGTCACAATATTACTGTGATATTTTAATGTTAAAAAATATAAAAAAAGCCCATCAGAGTCTACATCAGTTCGGATGCACAGAAAATGCTTTATTTTATGTGAATGTAACAAATAAAATATACGCTTCGATCCTTCAATTCGGGTCCTTATCAATATAAAATATAAATCGAATTACATAAATAACGCAAATTCCAAGTTGATGATTCCCGACAATTTAGTTTGTTCTTCTTTATCCAAATGCCAAATTAGCTATGTAATGAATAGCCCAATAATGATTATCAAAAATAACTTATACAATAATAATATAAAAACTTACATAAAGTAAAATCAAGTCATATACATTGCGTCACTAAATAGAATCACATCGCTCATCAGATTGTCAGATTTGCTGTGTAGTCATTCAAAAGAAACACGAAAACGAAAAATTAGAGAATTATTAAAATAATTTATCTGAATTTTAATTATATCGACTTACATGTAAGCGTTTTTTCGCGACGTAAAGATCTTATGATGTCGACAGTCAGAGATACAATGAGAGTCAAAATAATAAAGTCATGTATTGAAATAAATATAAAAATAAGAACAAAAGAGAGTAAAATTAACGTTTCACAATTCCATAAACAGATTCATGTATAGTGGATTCTCTAAAGAATACATATCATTCTGTAAATTCAAACTCTCTGTTTCTGTTGCTTTATACCCATACAACACAGAAGATTGAAGCAATATTGCTGCAATGTAATATTGCAAAGATATTACAGAAATGTAAATTAACAATATGTCTGCAAAATATGTCAGTAATATGTTTGTAATATTGCACAAACATTGCAAAACTATAATTCTTTAATTATTACAATAATAATAATATAAGTTTTTACAATATTTATTATGTAGTACAGTCTTTTAGTTTAACAGTCGTTTTTATGATATAATAATTAATATAATTCATTTTATACTTAAATAAAAAATTAATCTATTATTTGACGGCCATTTCATTAGCTAAGTTTTATATTTATTTTAATTATATTTATTTTAATTATATTTATTTTATATGAAATTAAAAAATTGTATAAGAGCGAGTTTGGATACAATCAATGCATCATTATCGGATAAGATAATAAGCAATTAAACTGCTGAAAACGATTTATCGAAATATTAATTATATGATCGATGATGTATTTATACCTAATGTGAACGCAAGGATAAATTAGCGCCCGAACTTTATCGATAAATTTCATACCGCCATTTTTTAATCGATTTCAACTGACTCGTGGTTTCCAATTAAAAAGAATCACTGCGATTTACTTAATCCATGATTTAACTTACCAAGCGACTATATTATTATATTAATGTGGATAATATTTGTGTAGTTTGTTCGAGGCACACACATACATACTTTATCCTTACGAATAAATTTATCCTTCAGAATTAATACTATATTTATTGGAATATTTTATGGTTTTATCATAAAAAAATTGCTTTTGAAAAGCACATATCACTAGAAATGTGATTTGTAGAAAAATTAAAGTTAGTGAGATATATGTATAGAAATAGTTTTCATTTTAGAGAGACAGTCTTCGTAAAAAATTTATCCAAATACATTACATTGCAATATTGCTGAAACGTTTTATTACAACATAACAAAAAGCGGACATCTTAACATTGTTGGAATTTTGCAATAATGATTCAGCAATGTTTCGCAACCACCATGCAATATTATAATGTTTCAGTGAAATCATTCTGCAATCTTTCTGTGCTGTATGGGTATAGATCGTTTGCGAAATTAGTCTTTTATTAAGTACCTTTTCCTCGTCCAATACCTTGATACAATGATTACATTTTCTCAATCAAAATCATGTTGATGACTAATTCTGTGTTCTGTTATTACGGAATGTTGTGTAGTGTCCTAATTTATGTGATTTCTATGTTCGTTGATGAGTGTCTTCAAATATCTATCTGTTTAGTCCACATATGATGTTTCACAATCTCGACAATCAATTTTATATATAACGTCTGTGTGAGATAGCTTAGGACAAACGTCTTTATGACCCCTGATGAACCCCTTAAGATTATTAATCCCTTTATATCCTATGTATATTAAGGAGTCTTTTAAAAAAAATTTTTTATCTTTTCTGATAAAAGTGGTATAAAGAGGATTGTAAAAACTTTGTTAATTTTATCTTCATTATTGTCCGTTGTCTTATCCGTAGGTGTATTACCCTAGTCATTTTATTGTTAAAATTTTTTTGATAACCTATTTTTGATTTCAGAGAATATGAGTTTCTTTTGGATATTCATTGTTTAAAAGAATTGATTTTACCCTTTTTTGTTATTTTTATTTCAATAACTACATGACTTATTTTGACTCTCATTTATCTCTGTCGACACCGTCTTGACTCTCATTGTGACTGTCGACACCACAAAATCTTTACGTCGCGAAAAAACGCTTACATGTAAGTCGATATAATTAAAATTCAGATAAATTATTTTAATAATTCTCTAATTTTTCATTTTCGTGTTTCTTTTGAATGACTACACAGCAAATCTGACAATCTGATGAGTGATTCTATTTAGTGACGCAATGTATATGACTTGATTTTACTTTATGTAAGTTTTTATATTATTATTGTATAAGTTATTTTTGATAATCATTATTGGGTTATTCATTACATAGCTAATTTGGCATTTGGATAAAGAAGAACGAACTAAATTGTCGGGAATCATCAATTTGGAATTTATGTTATTTATGTAATTTCGATTTATATTTTATATTGGTAAGGACCCGAATTAAAGAGTCAAGATATGAGACGTATATTTTATTCGTTTTGTTACATTCACACGAAAATAAAGCATCTCCTGTGCATCCGAACAGCTGATGTAGGCTCTGATAGGCTTTTTTACATTTTTCACTCATAGATTCTTTCGAGCCTCATTTCAATGTTGATTATCAACGAATGTATATCATTTGTCCACATCGCTAATTGGCTAATTTAAAATAATATAATCTCATTGGTAAAGCAGTAAAAAAATACTAGGAACCGACCGAGATGTTAATGGTGTGTGCAATTGAACTGTGTGCAAGTATCGCTCTTATTATCAACATGTAATATATCGGTAATGTTTCTGTAATATTTTATTGTAATATTTCTGATATATTGAAATATTATTGCGATATTATTGTGATATTACGTGCTATGTGGATTATTATAATAATATTCATAGATCTTCCAACAGTTAGTTTTCTTAAATGTATTAGTGACATCGACTCAATCAATAAGTCTATTTTTTACAACTAAATTAGTATACTTTTTTACTTTAAAGTACACTTTTGTGAAGGACACTTTAAGTGAAATATATGTTTGAATTTGACGAAAGAGAAGGAAAATGTTAGTGCAGTAATAAAAAATAAACTTAGCATTTATTTTACGAATGATTAGCTATAAGAAGATTGCGCAGAAAAATCACAGAAGCGTATTCTCTGGTCATATGTTTACTTTTTCTATCGTAAAAAATCTGAAATTAAAAAAGCGTGGCGAGTATCGCGCGCAGGACAGCTGCGCTGATTACACGCTTGCGCAATGTTCGGCGCCAGTGGTTCTCCATAGGCACAATGCATTCACGTCATTCGTCGCGCGTCCTCCGAGCGCGGCTGTCGCCGAGTTCGCATGCAAAGCGCGTCCGTTATACGCCTTTCGTGCACCGCAAGACCACGTGGTACCACTCGCTTCAATTCCCGCCGGCGCGCGCTAATCTTCGAAGTTGACTTCACGCGTGTCCCTCAATTGAGTTTCGTGTTCGCGATTACACCATTCCTCGTGGATAAAAGAAATCATTGACGATAAGAGAACATCGCAGGTAAATCTATCAAAATTCGAGTTCTCGACGAGTGCGAGTAGACATGCCAACGAGGAGCGGCTATTGATCCCCCGTGTTCCCGTACTTCCCGTCCACGTTCGTAAGTGCGTGCCAGTGCGGTGATATGTCCAGAAGGAAGCAAGCAAAACCTCGATCTCTCAAACGTAAGTCGCTATAATAAGCTATTGTCACGTCTTTATCATTATACAGCCTTGACCATAAATATAAAAGATTTGTTTGCGTCGCATGTTCCAACATACTTCAAAATGCTGGAGCACATTGGAGCGAACAAACTTAAATCATTCCCCGAAATATTGACGAAAAATAAATTAAGAAATAATTTGATTAAAAAATAGTATTTATTCTTATTATAATTTTATAATGTTCTTCTTTAGTTTTTATTATCACCTTTTTCAAGAAAATATAATAAATTAAAAGATGCTTTATACTTTGCCACTGTATATGTTCAGTATGAATGTTCGACATTATTAATTGGCCCCTATTTTTCTCTTTTTCCCTCATTAACAATGCATAGAAATCGATAATTTTAATTAATTGATGATCAAGTATAAACAGATTAGCTATTTAATTTAATTAATTTTATTTATTTTTAGCCTGATACTAACAGATTAGTATCAGGCTGCTCCTCGCTCTGATGAAGTGGACTGCAAGGTTCACGAAACATTGGCATTCCAAGAATGGACACGGAGGACCCGCGAAACGCATATTCTTTATAGAAAGCATCCATGGAAGAATATTATCAAACAAATTAGCCATTTAATTAAATTAATTTTATTTAATTTTTATTAAAAAGTGCCCAATAATAAATTCAAAAATATTGACTACAAAACAAATTGAGATAAATGAAAATACGTCGTATATGTATTATAGGTTCTCAATATGATGGACAATTTATAATAATACTAGAAACCTTCTCGATTCGCCGTAGCGAAAGAAAAAGATGGCAAGGGAAAGAAGAAAGCTTTGCGCGCGAGGGACAAATCAAAATAAAACAAAATGCGAGAATCTGTCGTCCCTAGGTGACGGCGGCTTTACAGAATTAACGTTCATGAGCTTTCACATTTGTGTCGCAAAGACACGCGAATAATAGAAAAGTTCGTTGCAAAGTGTTTATCCATGTGAAAGCATCGTTGTGTAAAGGACGAAAAAGAAGCCTTGGCTAAAAGGGTGCTTCGTGAAACTTCCAGACACGTGCAACTGTGCCCTGAAATAAAAGTAACGTATGATACGAGTGCCAAAAGCCGCTATTGTTGCAGAATGTCTACCGTAACGCCGTAATAATTATAAAAAAACGACCGAATTAGTTAAACTTCTAAATAACTTTAGAACTTTAGAATTCTACTGTTTTTAACAATTGTTCATTTGCATTTTATCGTACATTGTAATATCACATTATATTTTATTTTGATATGATATAAGAATAAAGCATGATTTGCAATATAATTAAAAAAGCAGGGAGTAAATAATTTAGAAAGAAAAGCTTTTTATAAAGTTTGATTTCGGGGAAAATGGATTGATAGATGAAATATATTCGCCAAATATGTAATATGATATAATTTGACAATTTGACTGATATAACCTAAACTACATATAAAGCATCTTCAATTTACTATATTTTCTCGGAAAAGGAAAATTAAGAAAAGAAAAATTTAAAGAAAAATTAACAAAATATTAAAATTGTTATAAAACTAAATATTATTTTTAATAAAAATGTTTTTTCATTAGACAACATATATTTTTTATTAGACATACAAAACGTTTACATCATAATTTGTGATTGCTTTATGCTTTTAACTAAATCTTATTTATTTTCACATTTATACATACTATTTATTTTTATTTTTATTCGTTATTATTCGTTATACAAGAACGTGTTATTTGTTATGTAGAATTACATACATTAGATCATTGATTAACTCTCTTATTAATTTTGTAAATGATTGTTGATTTTTTAAAACTAACTGAAGAATAATTGTTCTATTGACGAAAAAGAATTTATTCTTGTCAAATATTCACCTAAAGGTGATCAATTATCGAGTAACACAGCGTCTATATGTCAATTCACGATGAACAATAAAAAATAGAGACAAATAGAAACGTAGAAAGCGTTGAACTTGCGAGGATGTTGGAGTAGGTCAAAAACATACGTGCAAATAACCGAAATATAGTTACTCTAAAAAGAAAGAGATGAGACGAAGAAAACTGAGAAAAGAGCGAGTAAAAATAAATATGGAATAAAGACCGAGAGAGAAAGAGAGAGTGAGAGAGGGGGGGGGGGAGGAAGTAATGCAGAAAACGAAACAAATAAATGTGGAAAGAAAAACGATAAGAGGAAGGAAACGGAAATGTTTTGGATGAAAGAGGGAAAAAGAGAGATATTAAAGAGTTGATGAAACGTGGAGGATAAAAGGAAGACGGAGCGTCTCACTGTAAAGGATAGAAAGAGAAAGCGTAAGAAGAAAAGAGAGAAAGAGACAGGGACATCAGCAGACGTGAATGGCAGAAAGAGAGGAAATAGGTACGCGGGATAGATAGAAAGGAAGATAAAGGGAGAGGAGAGTCAGTAGTCAGCCAGGATGGAATTAGGTGGAAGCCCGCGGGAGACCGGCGCTGGTCCCCGGGGAATCCCCGGCCTCTGTAATCACCAGTTCGCCTATCCTATCCAATTCTGGTCGCACTCCTCTCGTCCTCCTCGTCCGCATTTCCTTTCGCGCGCGCATCTCTTGCTCTCCTCCAGCTTTTCAACCTTTCCTTCCTTCTCACTCTATTCTATACCGTTTCCTGCGATTTCTCTCCTCTCCTTTGAATCTGCTGTTTCTTCGAGTTATTCTCCATTTGCACTCTATGCGCAACAGTTTCTCATTCGTTTCATTTTTATTTTACAATTTCTCTCGTATATACTTTCTTCAGATCTTTATTGTTCATGCAAGAAATTTTTCCATTTACATACAATAAATAGGAAAAGTAAAGTACGTAAACTCCGTTTTAAATATGATTTTATATTTAAAGTAGATTTTAGAAATTATAGATTCTCAATTCAATTCTAACTGTAAATGCTTAAAAAAAATGCAATTTATGATCACAAAGATTTCACAGGCTAGCAATAACTATACGTAGTATCACGTATATGGTATAGTGGCTCTTTTTCACCGAAATTGCGACCGCGCCGTGGCACTCGTATCATTTCTCGTTTGTTGGCAGAATTGACGATTGAGCGGAAACGAAAGTTTTCACATTGATCGTTTCGAGCCGGCTGTTACTCGGTAGCCACATCCGGATTCCAATAGTGGACGTAAAAGGCACTCGACTGTCGAAATATTGGCTGATTGATGAATAAAGAGTGTTTTGTATGATTTGGATAGGATGAAACAATAATGTCTATTTTTATTTTTAGCGTTAACTGATTTTTACATTTGCTATAATCATTTACTAAAAAAAAAAATAACATTTCTTAAATTAAACAAAAAGATATTTTAATTTGCATCAAAATTATACATACGATAAGTGCAAAAAATATTCACATAGAGCAGATATCTTTTAAAAAGAATCTTTTTAGAAAATAAACATTAATTAATAATTTATCAACAAAGAATAAAATAGATTATATATTTCTTAAAATTACTTTATTTAAAAAGATATAATTAAAATATTGTATATTATTTTAATAAAGTAAGTAAAAATGAAAAATTGTATTATTTATTAGACGCACAAAAAGTCTCGTAAAAAATATTCATACAGAAATTTATTTTTAAAGTCATAAATAGTTATTTCCGCGAAGCTCTTTTGTTTATATTAGGATAGAATGAATTTATTGTTAATAACTATCAATTGACATTTATTTTCTACAAATAAAGCTTATATCGTCATTTATTTATAACTTTTAATTTTAAATATCTCAGTAATAAGAACTTTAATTCTTCGCATCAACTACGTTCATCTCCTGAATCTAGTACTGGCAAAGTTGTTAAATTTATGACTAGGTATATATCGAGTAGTGACAGTGTACGACATAGATTGATAGTAAAAATATCCGATAAACATTGTATATGTTTGCTTGTTTATTGCGGTATATAAACCGTCTTTTATCACATCAAGCCGACTGCCATCGCGTGGTCAGGACGTCACGAGCCAGTGGTTAGCCACGAAATAGCAAGCCGGACCGATAGTATTGCTAGTGATATAGGGTGTTGCTAATTAATGCACGATAATGAACCTGCGCGCGACCGAAGCCGTATTAATGGATTCCAATGCCCTCGTCATAACGTGGACAACCGGTAGGTAGCAGTTGAACGGAGGATAATTGCGTTAATGGGAATATATCGGCTTGCATCGGCAAGCCTCAGGTTATTTCAACTTGCATTTCAAATTCATTTTTCAAAAATTGTAAATAAAATGGACAGACGAATCGGTTAAATTTTTCAATTATCAAGATTCAATAAAATTTTTTTCTTAAAATTTTTATCAATGCTGAGTATTGCATTGAACACATATTAAAATTAATTTTTTTTTGTCATTTATTATTGTTAGCTTGATGAGAAGGAAAATGCGTCGCGTAGAAAAAAAAATAGAAAATCACTTAAATATACGTTTATGAAGTAAAATTTTTTTGTCGATTCACTTGTGGACACGGATACATTATATTGAAACTGGAAATGTAACTGTATCGATATTGTTAGAGAAATCTTAATTAATCAATCTGCACAATGCATTATTAGAGCTACATTATATATCAGATGTAAATCCGGTTGTTCGTGTGCATATGCATTTCTAATAACAAGTATGAAGGAACGCCTAAATATACTCGATATATAAGCGCATTATAATTGGTGAGTAGGACGCAATGACCTGAATCATGTGCATTATGCCTCAGGAACGTGATTGTAATTTGTGCGTACTCGCATAAATGCATAATTATCGTCCCGGAATTAATTTACACGCGCAGAAATGATTAACGATCCGGACCTCGAGCGGCGCTTGCTTATCGAATGATTATTATTTTCCTCCTTTTTCCTACGTTAAATATTAGAACTAAAACTCAATTGATTGCATTGAGGACATATATAAAGTGCACTGAGGACATATTATAATTAAAGTGAAAATTATATATTAAATTCCGTTCGAATCAGATTGCTTATAAATAAAA